CTAAGAGGTCCTAAAGCTGTTGTGGAACCATGTAAAGCTACTGATACTTTTGCCCAGCAACAACCAAGAAGCATTTGTTTCTTTTTGTTTGTTTTTTTTTTATATAAAACTATATAAATATTCATTCTGTCTCACTTTTTCAGACCTGAAGTGTATGATTCCAAATCTGCATTATAATTGAAAACTTAAAATCTGGTTTAGAGCTGCAAATCATTCTACAGGCAGTTTTCTTTATAAGATGATCATGTGAAATATATAACTGATTTTCCCTCAGTCATCATTCCTTTTGACTGTGGACATTTTTGAGCTTACAAAGCATTCTGAATAGGTCATTTTAAAATGAACTGTTTTGCAGGTTGGTTTTTTTTTCATAATGTGGCATCTTTGTCAACTGCCACATGTGCCTTATTTGGTTTTGCTACTGTTTTGATCATACTTCCAGGTTTTACTCTGAATTTCCTTTTATTGATAGCATTCATACAAAATCTCTTCTTGTGTGTATGACCACTTGGTCTATGTCTTCCATGTGATTACAGGTAAACCATAAATTAGATATCGTGTTGCATTAGATATCCAGGGGTGCATGTATTCTTTCTGAATGTGAAAGTGAACAACCACTGCTGTATTAGACTCCTTATTACTTAATATGCTTTATAGGCTTCTCAAGCAGAAGTTGATTCACTGTTCCTCTCTTCTCTTTTGTTAATATCCTTCAGATATCCCACTATAGCAGAGGTTACTGTCAAAGGCGTATTAGCAGTTCCCAATCAAGGTGGGAAGATGAAAGGCTCTTGCCTTTCCTTTGTTTCTTAGAAGCAATATTTTGCTTTCAAGCCTTTTCTGTTATTATTTGACAATCTTTCACTGTCCTTGATCTTTACATTTCCTTTTTCAGTTTTGGCTGTACTATAATCCTGTAAGAAAACCATTCTGGTTTATGCTTGTAAAGTTTTCATACAGTGAAGCCCTGGCTCAAGTAATATATATAGGCACCACTTAGTTGCAAATAAAAAAAATTACGACTTTTTAGATTATGATGCATGCTTCTTGCATAAGGAAATTGCTCTGGTTTAGCATTGCAGTACTGAATAATGCCATGTGCCTACACAGATCTTTCAAAAAGGGGCACCAAGCTGTTGGAAAGATGTCTCTTCCACTAAGAAAATTACTTCTAACTAGATCTTGTTTGCACATTAGAATAATTTTGATCTTTCTAGTTGCAATTGGTCCTAAGATACCTCTGTCTGTGCATCTTACCATGATTACAAACCTGTGTCTCAGAACCAGCTTTTACCTGTGAGTCCTCAGCAGTTTTGCCTCTAGCTCTCTTAGTCACTTAATTGCCATATGAAAGACATTTGTCTTACAGTTAGCTCCTCTGGACACAATGTATATTTTCTTTCCAAACAATTCTCATCAAAACCAGTTAGAAAAAGCTTTCTGTTCCCTGTATGTTGTTTTTATGCTGGATTTTAATTATGTTTTTGACATTACATAGGCTCACAAAGTCATTCAGGTTGGAAAAAGCCTTTAAGATCATCAACTTCAAACACTAACTCAGCACTGCCTAGCCCATGTGGCAGCACTGGAGAGGACTTTCACAATGTATTAGTGTTTCCTGATTACTGAGATTAATTTCCTCACTTTATCTGCCAAATTATTTTCCACTTTTTTTTCCAAAGAAATGTTACTATGAAGCTTCCTTCATTCTAAAATTACTTAGCTGTAATCAGTTCTGTTACCCTTTGCCATTCTGTTCTGGTGCGGGTTTTCTGTACTGTAAGTGTAGAGACAGTCTGAGTTAAACAGTTTTACTGATAGTTGTAATGCTCTAGTATTTAATGTTGCCTTAAGAACCTTTCCTACAGCATGGAGCTGGAAATCATGGTCCCAAGCTGTTCCTGTCTGTGACTAGCTTCTTTGGGTGTTAGTGCAGCCAGACTTGCGCTTCCTGCTTACCGTACATCCCAGTTGCCTCTGTAGTAAATTTCAGTACATGCTGAAGCTTTCTGTGTCCCTGTCATGTGAAGAAAATCAAACTGGAGCAGTAAGTTCTAAGGTAAGAGAGACACAGTTACTGACATTCATGGTTGTACAAGAGCTTGTGACTGGACACACTGGTAAACTATAACTATCTCTATGCATATTTGGCACAGCAGCTCAGAATTTAGAAGCCCTCTTGCACATAATATACTATATACTGCAATGCAAAGGCTAAGGTAGAATGGCAGGACAAGTGTTTGTCCAGAACTGATAAATCCTGGCTAAGTCCTTCTGCTCTGTATTTTTAATGCAATCCACAGTGCCCATACTGTTAAGGTACTCACTATTTGCAGAGTTCAGTATCTCCCATAGACAGAGATACTCTTTGGGAGTAACAAGAGGCACAGCAATCCAAACCAGTATAAGCCATAAATCTTCTCTGAAACATCTAGAGATTTCCATATTTATATAACCACAATATTAACAATTGTCATTAACTTTTGGTACCAGTGTCAGGCAGTAGTGGTCTGTCATGGCCTATGAGTGTCAAAAGTGACCTCTGTAATACATAGTGTGTTGCATTGACTCTGGCTGGATTCCAGGCACCCACCAAAGCTTGTCTAAGACTTCCCACCACAGCTGAACAGGGGAAGCAAGGATTGGGAGTTCAGAGTAAGGGCGATGAGAGAAGAGTTTTGACACTCAGGAGTGTCTTGATATGCTCCTATTTTGTTTTTTTTTTTTGTGGATCTCTTGATTATTGGAGTATATTGGGTTCTGTGAGCTGTGAAAGAGAAAACCAGAAACAGAAAAAAGATGGATAGAAGAAGCAGAGCATAGTAAATTTCTCCTGAGTGTCTCCCATAAAGATGAAAAGATTGGTTTCTTCTTTAAGCCAATATCCCCATTCCAATCAGGATAGGGTTCCCTTTTGCGGTAGTCAGGAGGGAGCATAGCTAAGACCTACAAGGATTGTTCTCTTCTACCTCATGTCATTGCTGGGGTCAGGGGAAGGGAATCTCTTCCAAAGAGAAAGACTTCCTTCCAGTTGAGTAAGCGTAGGGCAGGTTCTGAGCTGGAGGAGGCGGTGGATAACATTGGTTCCAAGCTGGAGGGAAGCAGTCAGGTGGTGCTCGTTCTGAGCTAGAGGGAGCAGTGGGGTATTTATCTTTTGTCAGGGGTTTCCACAGTGGGCAATGACCGTGGTTTTTCTTATTCTCTCTGCCTTCAGTGTTGTTGCTGTTACTGTTTATATTCTTATCTCATTGCTATTCCCAGTAAATTGTTCTTATCTCAATCTGTGATCTTCACCTTTTGTGCCTCCAGTTCTCCTCTCCAGCCCTCCACAGAGGGGAGGATGAGCAAGTTGAGTGGCACATGGTTTGGAGAGTCTCAGTGGGAGCACTAAACTGGAGAGTACCATTCCTAAATCATGACAGCCAAAAACCCAGGGTGCCATTAGTACCAGATCTTCAGATTACTTGGAAAGGTTTAGTCATCTTAGCGGAGCAAAGCTGGAACATGGCAATGCACACAAGTTGTTACATTCATATGGGATGAGCGCCATTTGGGAAGTCCAGCTATGTCTTCCTTCAAATATAGTAGTGCAAGAAAATTTGGAGCACATGTGCTGACAAAAGCAAGCAGTTACTAAAAATGGTAGGAGTTCCTAGACTTTCTATTCTAAGGTTTATATTGTGCTCTGTAGTAATAAAACTGTGACTTGTTTTGAACTCATTCTTGCTGGAACATGGCCTTCACAAATTATTTTTCAAAGGCACAGAAATTCACAGTTTATTTTTAGAGATTTTTATTTTGTTTTGCCTTTCTTGGCAAAGTAAAGGTATTTTCACACCTGAAGGATGGGATGCCATCCAGAGGAGCATGGACAAGCTCAAAAAATGGGTGTACAGGAATCTTATAAGGGTTTAATAAGACCAAGTGAAATGTGCACTAGGTGGAGTAAGCCCTGATATCAGTACAAACTGAGGCATGAAGCAATCAAGAGAAGCCCTGCCCAGAAGGACTTTGGGGGTGCTGTGGGTAGAGGCTGGACATGACCCAGCCATGGGCACTCACAGCCCAGAGAGCCAAACGTGTCCTGGGCTGCATCCAGAGCAGTGTGAGCAGCAGGGCCAGGGAAGGGATTCTGCCCCTCTGCTCTGCAGTACCTGCAGTGCTGCATCTGGGGTCACAGCACAGGGAGGACAGGGACCTGTTGGAGCAGGTTCCGATGAGGGCCAGAAAAGTAATTGGAGGAATGGAAATACTCAGTCTTTCCTCTTATGTGGAAAGACTGAGTATTTGGTTTGTTCAAAGTTTGTTTGTTGAGTATTTGGTTGGAAAAGAGAAGACTTAAAGGTGATGTGATTGTGGCCATTTAGTACCTGAAAGGAGCCTACAAGATGGAGAGAGACTACTTACAAAGGCATGTAGTGATAGAACAAGGGAACATGACTTCAGACTGCAATGGGGTAAATTTAGACTTGATTTTAGGTAAAAATTCTTTACTGTGAGGGTGGTGAGGCACTGGAACAGTTTGACAGAAGTTGTGGATGTGCCATTATTGGAAATGTTCAAGGCCAGGTTGGATGGAACTCTGATCAGCCTGGTCTAGAGAAAGGTGTCCTGCACGTGGCAAGAGGTAGGAACTAGATGATCTTTTAAGTCCCGTTCAAGACCCACCTTTCTATGTTTCTACATTTTTATAATGCAAATACATATAAACTGTGAAAATTAATTTTAAAAGAAATTTGGCCATTATATAGCATTTTTTGGTTTTGTTACTTCTTTCTTTTACTGTCTTGTGATTTTTCATCTTTCCCACAGAGGACTTTTTCTGATGTTCCTGTTTTACGTTTCATCATCTTGTTAAAAGTAACCTGTATTAAATTTAAGAATATCATCTGTGTGTACTGTCTTCTTAACCATTACTGAAAAAGATCTTCCAGACCATTGGTTTATCCAAAATAGTTGTGAGCTGAATGGGAAAATATGTTCTCTTTTTCTTCTTGCAGCCTGCAAATGATAACCTGCATACAAATGATGAGCATGAACTCCGAGGAGATAAAGAAAGCTATCTCTGTGCTGTGTGCCTGGATGTTTATTTCAACCCTCACATGTGTTATCCATGCCACCATATCTTTTGTGAACCTTGCTTGAGGGTGCTTGCCAAAGACAATCCAGCCAGCACTCCATGTCCACTGTGTCGCACTACAATTGCCAGAGTCTTTTTCCAAACAGGTATAGAAATGAAAGTTTTTACACATAAAAAATATTTGTACTTTTCCTTCTTGTATGCATTCAGAGCAAATTTTGGTAATTTAATCCACTGTGAGATATTATTTCCATTACTTTCCATTTCCATTCCTCCTAAGAACATTCCATGCAGGTTCTCTTCAATGTCAAGATGCTATTCGGAGCATATAAATTTTTATAAACTTTTTATTTTACAAATGACATTCTGATTATTTTCTTTTTTTTTTTGTAGAATTCTGGTAGATTTCTTTTATTTCTTCTTCCTGAATTATAAGATCAAAACATAATAAACATTTCTCAAACTATGCTATTGGAAAAGTATTTTTTAAATTGCTCATTTAATGGTACACAAAAAAAAAAAATACCCTTTTCATTTATGACATTAAATTTGGACATAAGTGAAAATAAAGGCTGTCAGAACCTTTGATAATCGTCTTAAATTCACCTGTCCTTGCCTCTTATACCCTCATCTCTTGTGTTCCTTACTCTTAACAGAAGAAAAATATGGTGTGTAGGGGGCATTTGGTGTCAGATTTGGTATAGAAATAGAAGAGGGTAAGTAGTCCTGCAGATAGAATGTCTGGAACAGTGTGAGTCAGCCTTTTATGCCCAAAGCTTATATGGTAGATTCAAGTACCATTGGTAGAATTGCACTATGGTATCTGGAGTTAGGGCATTTACAGCACTTAAAACTGTGCATAGGCAGTTCACAGAGTAATGGAAATTACTCAGCCATGCAGGAGTGTTTGTTTCATTTTAGATGCTACAGAAATCTTGCAGAGATTATCTTTAAGCTGTTGTGAGTGCTGTGGTGATGACAGGTTAGGGATACAGACTGAAGTATGGCTTCACATTGATCAGCAGAGCTGCCCACCTTCTGTTCCTGGTTGTGCACAGACGCTGCTTTTGTACAGGGCTAACTTTGTATGATTTGATGGCAGGTCAGTTTGAAGAACTTATTGGGATAAATAAGAACTCATTTGGGTGGGAAGGAGGTATTTTCCAGATGAACCTATTGCCCCAAGATGATTCACTGAGCAGCTCATGGTTGCCAGGGATAGACTGGCTATCCTTGCACTGATACACTGCAGTATAAAACACGGGTGGAAAGCTGCAGCCTGAGCACTCTCAACCCCCTGCCTGTCTGCTGTATAGAGATTTCAAGCTGTTCTCGTTTCATTTCCCTAATGTTTGATGCTCCCTTCAATTTGATGTACACATGAAGTGTGTTTCACTGATACAGAGTTATGCTTTTCTAGGGCTATTTCAATTTTTAAAAACCAATTTAGCAGATTTGCTGCAGAAAATTACCACTGGGAGAGCACAAAAGGAGAATAAAGATGCTTCCTAAAATGTATTTGCAAAGCTTTTCAACTTATTACAGTTGTCTAAGTGAAATATTACTAGGATTACTTGTAGCCTTTAAGTACTTAACATACAATGCATAAAAATGCCTGGTGGGAGGGAATGAAGAAGGAGCCAGATTCTTCTGAGTGGTGCTCACTGCCAGCACAAGAGGTATTCAGCACAAACTGAAACACATGAGATCCCATCTGAACACAAGAAAGTACTGTTTTTTCGTGTGAAGGTGTGTCAAACAGATTGGTCAGAGAGGCCGTGGAGCACCCATCAAAACCCAGCTGGACGGGGTTCTGGGCACCTGTACAGCTGACCCTGCTTGAGCAGGTTGGATTAGCTGTTCTCAAGACATCCCCTACAACCTTACCCACTCTTTTAAATATTAAATAGGTATGTAGCTCTTTTGAGGAAAAGGATGCCTAAGGAGCAAATACATTGTCATAGACTTGCAAATAGAGTCTACTATATATAGTGGATCATAACAGTATATAATATGTTTCGTATTAACAACTTCAGATGAGGGAGATCTGCAGCTATTTGCCATTCAATGTATAGTAATATGTGCTTGACTTAGCAATAAATTTAAAAATATGTACAGTAATTTAGCTTCGTTATATATATTAAGAAAAATATTTTGAGCTTTTTCCAGTGCATAACATACTGAACAACTTTTAAATGAACTAAGGGTTATTGATGATGCTATCATATCCTTAGAGAAATTAGTAAAATCATTAAGATGAATGGTGCCAGAGCAATGTAAAGCATAGTAATTTTTTTTCCACTTAGAAGAGTTCTTAAACCTTTAAAAACTTACACTAAAGTCACTGCTGCTATAGGTTTGTGCAGGCAACAAAGCAAAGTTGCTTGTAGTCTTTACATACTTCTCTAATGCCGCAGTTTGGATGTCTTATTTTCCTCAATTTATTTTGATGCGTTCTGCAGCTTTCCTTTTGTATATATGCATTCATTTTACAAAGATATTTCAAAAAGAAAAACATTTAAGGATACATTCAGAAGTTCACTTTTTAGCTTGTACAGTTTTGGAGATTGAACACAGCTGCAACAGAATGATGCCTGTAAACTGTGGAAAGAAAAAGGGTTAAGAGGTCAATTATCCATCAATTATGGAGACAAACAGTGTTTAACTGAGAGCTACAAAGACTCACGAGGGTAATTGCTCTGGCCATTTGCCTCGGTCAACTGAGCTTTTTTACAAGATCCCTTAAGCATAAGTTCCAGTCCAGATAGGTTGCTCTGATGGTGCTTACTATGCATTCCCATCTTTCTTAAAGGCTGTCTTAGAAGCCCTTCTCCCATCTGGATAAACTCCCATCTGATCAGATGACAGCATGCCCAGAACACGCCTAAGAAAACAGCTCTTGAGCTGATTCCACCAAGTAGCTTTCTAAGTTACCAAGTATCTTCTACATGCTTCACTTATCGGGCAAGATCTTCTACACCTCCGTTCATATAAAGTTTCATTTATGTTGTTTGCAAGAAGGGCCAGACCATACACTTCTGTGCGATAAATCCACTACTTTGGAGAAATGCAGATTGAGGGTAGTGGTTGTGCAATGAAGGTCCAGCCATGTGGCAGGAAAAGAGTCATGTGCATAGAGAGGGACAGGTGACCTGGCCAGCCTGAGGGGATCTTTCATTAAAAGCCTAGCCAAGCAGCCTCGTAGAAGCCAGTAAGACTTGTCACCACTGCCTTTTCTGAAAAACAGGAATTAGATGCCTCACCAGAGGTTTCAGTATTTAAATTTCAATAAAATAGAAAGAACTGTGTTGATTTCTGTGGTCTGTAGCAGGAAAATAAAATGTTCTCTGTCTATGCTGTGAAAAGCAAGCAGAGTCTCATCAGAAGCTTGAATCTGAATAGTACCTAATCCAAATATGTTCAGTAGCATATAAAGCTCTTTTATAAAAATTGAAAAAACAATAGTGAAAAAATACACAATTTGTTCATTTTATATTTAAGAGAGAAAAAGGCCTTTTTTCCTTCAGTGACAGCATTTTATATGTGCAGTAGCTCTATTTTCACGTAATGAGATAGAGGATTTGAAGATTCTGTGCTCTTCATGTATTGTATAGCTTGATTCCACCTGCATTGTGACATGGTGAAATAAAGGATAATTTTTAGAATCAGACCAGCATGGGGTTTTTACTTCAAATCTGCTAATGTCTTCATCTTACACAGAAAAAGCTACTGAAAGCAAGAGAATTTTTTTTCTTTTTAGAGCTGCTCACACAAAAGCTTAGCTTTCTTAAATTTGCCAGACAAAAAGATTTTATCCTTTCATAAAATATTTATTACTAGAAAAGTATGTTTCATTACATTGGACCACGGGAAGTAATAAAACACAAGCCTTTTCAAAAAACCTGTAATTGTCTTTTCATACTTTGAAGGTACAGAAAGAATTATGGTACCAGCTACTCTTCATATTTATCTGGAGCCATCTTGGTTTGGAGACACAAATTGTGCAGGGGTTGGAAGTTTTTCCTATTAACTACTAGCTTTGCAATCCTGTTTGTTATCAGTAGATCAATTCTATGGCAGGAAAATATTGTTTTTAATTTTCCATTGTATTTCTATGGATAGATTAGTTTGGCAGTTTTAAACTGCGATTGTGTAGGTATTTCCCCAAATTATACCCTGAGAAGATGTTGATTTCTTGAGATTAGTACATAATGCCAGTTTCTCCAATGTGTCATGAATCATCCTACAAATGTTTTCTTAACAGCGTATAAAATAATTCATTAACAGGATTAATTAGTTAACAGGATCAACTTCCTATTAATCCAAAGACTTTTTTAAAATATAAAAAAATTTAAGGCTCTTCCCCTTCCTTTACATTACTTACTATTACTGAATGGTGATGTTAAACAAAAAGCTGCGAATTAATACCTCAGTCATTTTTATGGATATAATTTTTATTCACAGAGGTCATCATAGTTTTGGAAGTTAAATATCTTGATTTCTTAAATACATAATTTTGCCAGAAATTATCATTGTGACATCATCTTTTCTAATTTTTTTTTTTTTCCCAAAGAAGTAGAATGTTTACAATTTGCTCTTACTATATATGGAACTGGTTGGGTAAATGTGATTGTAAAAAATAGGTGTTATAATCAGAAGAACTATACAGTATATATGGCATTTTTATTTTGCATAAAATTATGCTAATTGTTACACTAATTATTATTATGCTTTATTTAGAGCATTGATGTATGTATTCTTTTCCCTTAATTATTGTAGATCTGAATAACTGTACCAGATCTTTTTTCCCTATGGAATATTTGAATCTAAAGGAAAATTTTCAAAAATCCAATTCTGCTAAATGGCCTCTACCAAACTGCAAGAAAGCATTCAGAGTTTCTGAAGGTAAGATTTTTGATTTTTGCCTAAATGTCATTCAATCTGAAGTGTAATATTTGAAAATAAGACTGATTAATTCATGCCATTGGCAAACAGATGGATGATTCTTAAAGTAGAGATGAGTTTAATTCTCATGGGTGATTCATACACAGTGCTCTGAATCTAAAGATAAATTGCAAACTGTAAAAAGACAATTGTGTATGTGCCTTTTCATTTATTTTTGAATCTTTAATTCTGTTCACATTATCAGGGTAATTTTATGTAGCTTCCTCCTTAGAAAAATTTCTGTCTGCATTGTGGAATAAGGAAAATTACTCCAGGAAAAAAGTTGCTAGTTCTGAGTGTGGTCAATAAAAACCTCTCAAAAAAATCAGAAAAATCAGTCTTTTGTGAAAGAAGTCAAATAAAAAAATTTTAATCATATATATTATGCCATATATAATGCATGCAAAATGGAGTAATGGGTAGGGATGTTTTAATTTCATTTTCTCTTTATTATATGAAGAAAGCTTAGTCCCCTTCTTGCAACTTTAACATTAAACATTTTCATGATTAACTGATCATGAACTGAACAAATATAAGTTAGACCACCTAAATGCAGGATTCACTGTTTACCCATATTTCCCTGTTTTCAGTCTAATGGCCTTTCTTCACCATGAACATTTACTTAGTTATTTGTATATACTTTTCATAGTGCTGAGTCTAGGTAGCAAATATACTTTTCCTTTTCATAAGAGCAGCTTGTTTCTGAAAGTATGTGGAAAAAATAAAACAGACCATTTTATATCCCTTTTATAAGTCTACCCAGGCTTTTGTAAAGGTGAAATTTGATAACTTCTGGAACTCCACTTATAAAATCATCTCAAGTAATGTCACAATTTGATACTGAAAATATCAAGAAATGTGCCTGGCTATCAAAAATAGCAGACTTGAGAAATTTGAGGACTAGTAGATTATCTTTGGTATTACTCAGAGAAGAAACTATTGGCAGGACAAACTAAGATGACTGTTTATTTTCTCTAACAGGAGTTAATGTAGTATGGGTGTTAATGCTGGGCTCATTAAAACCCATATTTATTTTAAATATGTTTATTTTAATATATATTTTGTATGTGACATAGTTCCTTTATGTTTTGTAGTCTTATACAAATTATGCTTCTCATAAATATGTTTCACAATGCTAAGCGTTGTACAAAGCATAAATAATTAGAAATAAAATAAAAATCTGGAGAGATCATACAGTTTCAGTATTGTGCCACCTGAAAATTTGCCATATTCTTCAACAAAGGTAATTTTAAATACATAGCCTAAAAGTCCCACACTAAATGGGAACGTGGTTAGATCTAGTTAATAAGCCACACAAACCCCAAAGCTGTCTGAAACTTTGTATCTGCATTCCTAAATAAAAGGATTACTTCAATGTGTCTCTTTTGACTTTTTATTTCAATAAAAATTACTGCTTTTTATTTCAGTTTTAAAAAAAAAAGCTTGTGTGATTTCAAATGCAAATGTGTGGCATTTTCTTCCTGGGATTATATCTAAATTGTGTTTGGCAACACTTAAAGTTTAATACTTTTATAATTGCTTGTGTGCTCTGGCTCAGGATGCTACTAGGCATAAAATACTGAGAATAGTGACAGCAAAATTCTTCTGTCGTCATATTAGATTCCATTGCAAAGGCAAACCCTGATACCACTGAGATCTGAAAGGATAAAGAGGGCACTTAGATTAATTTTCTGTTAATTAAGCCTAATAAGATCTTATAATTTCAGAAGTAAAATACAAAGAATGGGAAGAGTAATAGGGTGAGTATGTGAGTATACTGACTGGAGTGAAAAGGGATATGATTACTGTGCTTAGCAAGCAATGAAATCTTGCAAATTTGATCATGAAGATAACCACCTCTGTATAGGAGTGCATTGTCAAAGAAGAAATTCTGTAGCTGTGTTAGAAATGCGGAAGCTCTTTCACCTTCATATCCAGCAGGTCCAGTATTTACCAAGAATTTAGAAAGTCTTTTTGTATAATTCCAGCTTTCATTGTGACAAAACCTCTTCCACAATACCATTTTAATACCACAGATATAAAAATAGTAAACCTTAGCCAGTAAATCACTCATTAGAGATGCTAGATAAAATCAGACTCCAGAGCTATATTGGGATATGAGGAATAAAAAATGGCTGTTAGGAAGTCTAGATTATATACAAAATTTATCTGGTTTACTAATTTTGACTTCATGAACATTGCAGGGCTGCTAGATAAAATGAAGCATTTCCTCTTTTTCCTTACTTTTTTTCCTGAACTGATTCACTAAGCCAAATATATTTGGTTATCTACATGTGACTGTTCTTTCATATGAGATTTTCCATGAGGAATGTAGAATTATCTTTAATAATACAACCAACCATAACTTTTCAGTTCTTATACAAAAAGAAAGAAACCTCATAACTGCTGCACTTTTGGGCTTTAAGCTGATGAAAATTGCTCTTTAGTTTGCCCTTGTATTGCACTGTATTTTTTTCCAATAAAATAATCAACAGAATTCCTATTTGTTTAATAAACATTGCTTATGGTATTGCTCTCAATATGGTATGCTGTGTTTGGTCAAGGATAAGTTAATGGTAAAATGGGATTGCGGTTCATGAAGGAAATCAATTCTTCTTTTCCCATTCAGATTTTTAATACATGGAAAAGTTAACAAGATAATTTTAAATATTTCTCTAAAATATCTACTGTTTCATATGAGATAAACAGAGATATTATATTAGTTATTCTTTTGAGTACTGATAACTTTAACAAAATGTAATTGCACAATAGAAATAACATCTCAATTAATGGTTTCCTTACACAGATTTTAAAACAGATAAATAGTGTAGTTTGAACACGAGAGTTAAATAGCAAATACACTCAATTGGATTGTATTATCATATATCATAACTGAATATCATAACTAAGTGAAGCCTTTGTAAGCTATTAAAGTGGAATGGCATTCTGTAAGAGCTGTACAGTCACAGGAAGTTCACCAACTAAGGGTAAGTCTCCAACAGTAATTTGATACAGAAATGTGGGCTAAAATAAGAGATTGGGATAATTTAAATTGCAAATATGATACTTAATTTGACAATGATTTTGGTGTAATCAAGTGCAGAAATTAAAAATTACTTAGACATTTAGTACACTGCCTAGAAGTATTATTTCTAAACCTTTGCATAAATCTGAGATAGAACTACATTGAAGAGATAGAGGATAAAGTAGTCAAGATAATGATGATAGCGTTGTACGTGGGTGCTGTCTGCCTGCATGTAGATTAAGGTTGTAGAGATGGCTCAAGAAAAATAGAAGTAGGTGTTCAGAATGGGTGAAGGGGATTATAAAACCTCTGAGTTACAGCCCGTGATTACTATTTGAAATCATAATTATTCCTAGGCTAATAGAAATCCCCTCCAATGGTTACTGTTCCTGATGTTTTTATTTAAAACATGACAATTAAATTGAAAGTCTAAAATAGTATAGAATAGATAAAAATAGCATGTTTATTTCTATCTTTTCAAATCTTTAATCTAGAAGACATTCCCCAAAGTGTTCCATACTATGAAATCTGTGCAGATTCTTTCCTGATCTCATCTCTTTAGGTACTTAATAAAAATATTGACTTCTGCATCAGTCAAGGACTGCACAATAGAGTGTTTTCCAAGCCTACTAAAACCTGGTGGAAATTACCACCACCTCGGTAGGTCACATCTGCCAAGTCCTTTTATGTAATCATTCTCTGGAGAAAATGGTGAACAATTTCCTTTAGAGAAAGCTTTTAATAATACCAGTTGGCACATTTCTTTATATTTTGTCTTTCAAATAGTACAATATTAAAATTTACTTTCTTGATATCATGATTTCAGTTTGATAGGCAACAAAAGCACAATGTTGAAAATGAAAATTTACAGGTTTTAAGTTCATACTTCCTTGTTTAAAAGAGCCAAATAAAGTGATACTTGTTTTCAAGTTCAGATACTGTGATCTAGTGAGAAGAAAACAAGACAGGTGTTACTGAAAATAGTAGGGGCAGTATTTAATTTTAGCTATAAAAAGTAATGCTGGCAGAAGGCTCCCAGAATAATCCTTACTTTAGACTATTTTTTTCAAGTTCTACTATTCCATCGCATCAGGGTCACCCAGAGCAGGTGACTCAGGAACTCATCCAGCTGGGTTTTGAATGTCTCTGGAGAGGGAGACTCTACTACCTTCCTGGGCAGCCTGTTCTAGTGCTCTACCACCCTCAACACAAAGTTCTTTCTCATATTGAGATGGAACATCTTGTGTTTTAGTTTGTAGCCATTGCTCCTTTCCCAGTCTCTGGACACCACTGAACAGTCTGGCATCATCCTCTTGGCACCCACTTTTGGGATGTGTTATTGAGCTTCCCTCTCAGTCTTCTCCTCTCTAGACTAAACGCGCCCAGCTTTCCCAGCCTCTCCTCACAAGATTCTTCAGTAGAGCTTGTGAAATCACAGAAAGTTAATTTGCACACATCTGTTTGTCACAAAATGTATTTGCAATCTGCAGTCTTCACAGAAAGTGAATTTTCTGCCTAAAAAAGACACACTTCACTGGAAAGTGTTGTCTCAGAGTATCTGGTAGCCTTATAGTACATTGATACAGAAAAGACAGTATCCAAGCCTGCTGGTTGAGTGTTTTAGGTCAGCTCCACTGATAGCCACTTTGTCATTTTACTGATTTGTCAGCACTTGACCTTAACTCTTGCACCCATATTCCTTGCCCACAAGTTCTGTTTGCTCCTGCTGGTAAAAAATGCAAGACTGATTTCTTGATTCCAGAGTCTCCTTTGGGTCCCATGGAGCAGCTGTGCTCTAAATAGCCTTTATGCCTCTCCTTCTGCACCTTGCCCAGTAGAAGTCAATCTGAAAGGAAAAGAAATGGGAGGGGAAGTTTAAAATAAAAAGGTCATTGCCACAGACATGTCTTAAGCTTCGGTTTCAGGGCTGCTGCTT